AGAGGATTGCGTCTCTAAATTATCTGACTGCGCGTAGTGATTTTTTCTCTCTCATGTTCCATGGTAATAATAGAATTTTTCCCCCTTTTTAAAAATGGAAGGCAGCGTAAAGATCAACTAATGCCAGCTCCTACATTTTACTCACAAGGAAACTGAGACAAAGAGATGAATCAATGTGCTCACAGTCCTGCAGGGAATTTGTAGAGCATCTGCCTGCAGCCCAGCTCTACAAGGTTGAATTCCAGGCACTGAAGACAACAGAGAGGCCCGCCCATTCCTGATGTGCCCAATCTCATTGGCCTACCCACCTGGCAATCATCTCAACTCCTAACTCACCAGCCACAGCCTGGCCCATGCAGCCTCCTAAACATCCGTCAGATCAATCCTCTCCCTACCCGAAGGCCACCACCTCCAATCTCAGTTTCAACACCTGGATTAACAGGGGCTTTCTAACTTGCCTCCCTACTTTAGGTCTGGGTCCTCTTTGGAGAATCCTATTTGCAGCTGCCGTAGCCACACTTTAAAAATACAGAGTCATCCATGGCTTGCTCTCCCCTCACGGTCAAGTTTCAGCTGCTTTGCATCCCACTCATAGCATTTTAGAAGTTCCCTTCCCCCCATTTCTGGGCCCCATAACACCCACTTGTTCCTCAAGGCTCAACTCACAGGTCAGCTGTTCTGCAGAAGATTTTACTGCGTCCTGAGTTTGGGCTAAATGCCTATCCCATGGCTCCCAAAGTTGTCTGTGCAGGTGCTTTGGGGGGCTCATCACTGCTGGCCGTGCCCCATTCCCTGCAGCCCACTTGCTGGGACTTGCCATCCATCACGGACAGCGCCTCACATTATATACTTTGTGATGGATTGTCACTTCCACCCTCAAGTGTTTCCATCATTCCCCAGGACCCAAGCGGTCACGTCATCACCCGCACCAAGACCCACTCCTCCTCACAATGCTCTTAGACTTGTCTCCCCCTTCCTCTCCATCCTTTCCCTACACACCTACACACTACTGCATCACCTGAAACCCTACTCCATCCAGTTCCTCCGAGCCGGTGCCCGAGGTGCCTCCCGCCCGATCACACCACCCCGAAGTGATGTTTTAATTTCTCATGTATTTATATGCTAACAATTAGCATGTTTATATCTCTAATCCAAACATCTTTTTGGGGGCTCATCCAACTGCAATATTTGCATCTCCATTTGGATGGCATATGGCGTCTCATAATTAACTAGGTCAGGACTGAATTCTTAAAATTCCTCTAAATCTGTTCCTCCCTTAATTTTCCACATCTCCCAAATGGCACTATAATTCATCTAGTCACTCAACCCATATATTCAGGAGCTATTATTTTTTTTAAATCCTCACCTGAGGATGTTTATTTGTTTTTTTGCTGATTTGAGATAGAGAGGAAGGGAGAGGGAAACACCAATGCGAGAGAGAAACATCATCAATTGGTTGCCTCCTGTACACACCTTGATCAGGGATCGAACCCACAACCTGGGTATGTGCCCTGACTGGCAATCAAACCCATGATCCTTTGGTACATGGGACAACACTCCAACCAACTTGTGTTGGGTCTTGTTTTCTTATCTATTAAGCTGCCCTATGTCTTTTGATTGGGACATTTAATCCATTTATATTTAAGGTTATTACTAGTAGGTACTTATCTATGGCCATTTTATTTCTTTATGCCTATGTTTCTCATTCTCTCTATTTCTGCTTCTTATTACAGCAGTCCCTTTAACATTTCCTGCAATGCTGGTTTGGTGATGATAAACTAGCCTTTTTTTTTTTTGTCTGGGAATCTCTTTATTTCACCATCTATTTTGAATGATAGCCTTGCTGGATGGAGTAATCTTGGCTTCAGATCCTTGTTTTGCTTTACCTTGCATACTTCGTGCCATTCCCTTCTGGCCTGTAGAGTTTCTGATGAGAAATCGGCTGACAGCCTTATGGGAGCTCCTTTGTAGGTAACAAATTGCTTTACTCTTGCTGCCTTTAAGAGTTTATGTCTTAAATTTTTGGCATTTTAATTATGATGTGTCTGGGCGTAGGCCTCTTTGGGCTCTTCTTGCTTGGGACTCTGTGCCTCCTGAACTTGTGTGACTTTTTCCTTGATCAGGTTAAAGAAGGCATTCACTACATCCATTTATTCCCATACAGCATGGCTCCTGGCACATAGTAAATGTATAAATGAAAATACCTAGAAACAGATCCTAGGGGTAAGCTTAAATAGTCTACTCTTTTCAGTTTCTACCCCGACTCGCATGAGACGTGAGCTGCCAGTGGGGTCCCTTTCCTTAAAATGTTCACTCTGTCTGTCTACCAGTGACACACTTTCCTGCCTCCCACACTATCCTTGTAGGAAGAAGGAAAGAGACTGATCATTGCCTGGACATCACCACTTCCCCAGAGAAGATGTCTTGCTTCCGTTTTTGAAATAGGTGATATATTCAACAGTGATAAATGCTCAATTGCATTTGGGTCCCCGAGGAGTGGGAAGCTCTATTCTTTAATAAAAATTCTATAAAGTAAGGTGCATATACAATTTCTCTCGACATGGCGTGATACACCAAGTCTTCACAGACAACGTCACGCTGTCATTCCCTCCTCTTCTTCAACATATCTCTCCTGGAAGTGGAACAGCCCAAGCCAAGCTTTGTGGCACCTTGCTCTTTCCTAATGGTGCCACATTCACGCTCTTTCCAGATGAAGGAAGGGCTGATAGATGACGAAAGGCCACATTGTGCCTGCTGGCCTTCAAGGGTCCCTGACACACTGATGTCCATAACTATTTTGGGTGACAGAAGAAAAATGTTCTGGCTGAAGAAGGTTGAACTGTTTTCCTCATTGCTCAGACTGCATCTAGAGTGCTGCGTTCACCCACAGCCATGCTCTTTAAGGGGGACACTGACGAGGAGGGGATCTGTGTTTCTGAGCGAAGGCTTCCATTTACAGATAGGCCATCTCTCCAGAAAGTGGAGAGCCTTTCATTTATGTGTTCTTCATATAGAAAAAACTGTATTTATTATGGTTTGTGTGGGTTTCTAATTCTCTTTTGAAATGAGTACAGTTTTCGAACGTTTCAGAACTTGAAAGGTCTTCTGGAACAGATTACATTAGAAAACCGAGGTACCACTGTATAGGCAAATTACTAAAGTAAGTGCATAACTGTCCAAGAACAGCCAGGTTGCCTTGATTTCCCTTGAGGTTAATAGTTGACTTTAGTTGATACATATATCAATTACATATATATTATGTATTATAGATTATGTATTATAGGTTATGTATTATGTATCATATACCTATCATCTATGACATATCATCATGTATTACATTATCTATATTCTATATTCTATATATGCGGAGAGTCAGGCCAAAATCAAGATTCTTATAGATTCAATCAAATTCAAATAGATTATACTTTAGTTCAAGTAAGATTAAAATGAAGTTGAACAAGAAAGCCCCTGAGGCCACTGACAAGTCTAACAAACAACTCTCCGGTCAAGCTTTCTGGTGGGTGAATCTCCTTCGCTGGGGCATGCTTAGAGTCTCGGCACAGAGGGACATTTTGGGAAGACAGCTGCCATTTTACCGTTTTCTCTACGTGCCTTCCACCCTACACCTGTATCCTCAGCACTCCCCCTCCAGACTAGGCCACAGGCAGCCCGGGTCCCGAGGCTGCTGGAAGTTCTCCACTGGGGTCTGCTGGCCTGTGTAGGGTTCTCACTCTCCCTGCTCAACCCTATGTCCACTGCACACCTACTGAATCAGTCTCCAGAGCTGGAGCCGGTAATATTGCATGAAAAACAAAAGAAAAAACAAAAGCCCCATGTGTGATTCCGAAGCCTATCCAGCCTCCAGAACCATGGGCCTCACACACATCTGAATTTGAGTCCTGCCTGAAAGACATAAGCAAGCTATTTAACTCACTAATCCTTCAACAAATAATAACATCCCACTGCTGGTAACCTTTACTGAACAATTACTATGTGTGTTGGATAATATGCTAAGAACCATAAGTAGATATTTTATTTCATTCATATAATAATGCTATGAGGCAGGTATTATCAACCCATTTTACAGTTAAACACACTGAGGCTTATTGAGTTTAATTGAGTGAATAAGGTGGCTGAGATTATATATCTGGTGATTCACAGAACCAGGATACATACCCAGGTAGTTTGAGTAAAGATGCCATCAAGTTATCTGACACATGGCAAGCGGTCCAGGTAGCAGTTAGCGGTGGCATCATGGAATCATTAGCCTTATCATGACACTGCTCAGGAGTTCACACCCAGCAAACAGCGCATGCCTCACGCTCTTCTCGGGTGTTCGGAGGGTAAGATGTCTCCCAGTGTCTGATAGAAAACAGGCTCTTAGAGAGCTGTATGTCTTACAGGCCGCTGTGGGGGTTTGCAAGAACCCACGCTCTCCTTTCATAGCCCAGGAAGTTAATATCGAACAGGAGGAAAACTAGGTTCCCTCCCCAAGAAGACACATTTCATGAAAGCTGCAGGAAGTCTTGCCTTTGCCAGAATGGGATTCCGGCACCCAGAAGGGTTCCTTCTACAACGACAGGGAACAGAGGACAGTCTCACATGGTCTGTGGCTTCCTCTAACGGGCAGAGCGGGGAGCTGAGCAGCGATGCTCCACTCCCCCAGCCGAGGTACTTGCAGGGGCTGCTTTCTGGGCCAGCTCTTTCTGTGCACTCCCACCTTGCCGGTTCACTTTCTGGGGTCTCTCCCTACCCCATTTTTTTCTCAAGTGCTAATTTTTTATTGTTATAGTCAGAAGGCAGATTTTGTTTTTTAAATATAGTGTCAGAAGGTATAACAGCTTTAAATACATGTCACCATTTATTTGCCCAATCAATCCTGCAGGGTTTAGTGTATTATGTGTTGTGATAGAAATCGCAGAAGAAACAAACTTCAGCGGTACTAGTGATTTTCAACATACAGAAACGCAATGCTCGTGAAACGCACGCGCGGCTGTTACCTGTCACGTTGCAGTACACCTTCAGGGGCCCCAGCGGGCCGCTGCCGTCGGGGTCGATCCAGTAGTAATTTGACGTCTGGCCCAGGTGTTTGTAGGCTTCGCAGGACGGCTCATAGATGGCTGGAAAGAAACGGCCCACATGAGCACAGCGCGGAACACACGGCTCCCGGACACATGCCCCGGAACATATCACACTGGCTAACGGCGGCTGGGGACGGGAGCCTCTCGCTAGAACGAGCATCCTTCTATGTTTAAATTCACGGTTTACTTTTTTACTCTATAAGCATTTCTGTTCTAACAAAGATAATAAGTGCCTGCTACGGTTTTATAGTTGGGAAATAGTCTAAAAAATCAATACATTGTCAAATTAATGTAATGTTTGCTGTATTGGGGCTCATGATCATTGAAAAATACTTAATCTGTAATTATTTATAGATTTCTTCTTACTGGAAGGGCTGTTATTTTGCAAGGTAAGTGTTGTCTGCTTTGCTTGACTATCAACTAAGAGACCACATACACGCGCGCACACACACACACACACACGGACACACATACAGAAGCATGTGCACACACACACACATACACACATTTTTGCATTGATGGTATAAATGTCATGGGATTTCTATTCTTTCTTTATTTCAAGAGAAAGGAAAGGACTGTCTCCGATTCATTTTGTTACAGGTGCTTTAGTTACATGAACCCTGTTTGTGTAGAAAGCTGACATCAACGTGATTGAATTCTAGGTCCTTTTTCATTGTTTTCTGTTTTGCTCCCAAGCTCCTGACACATTTTCTCTTCTCGGAGACGGCGCCTGTGTTCAGAAGCACAAAAGGGACATTCACATGTCGCCTCCATAGTGAGAACTTCTAAAATATTATTGCAAAAACTTTGTTGATGTCTGTGGGAATATGAAAGATGTCTTTACAAAGCTGAGAATCCCGGTGGAAATCCACGTCTCTGGAACACAAGTGGCGGAGCCTCAGTACCCTGCATCTGAATTCGTCCCCCTAGCACCTGCTATTTGCTCAGTGAGGGAGCAGGAGATCTGATTCTGGGGCGTCCTTTCCTACCTTCCGCCTCCACGCTCTCCCGACCCCCAGTGGCTTCCCACAGTTCCCTCTCTGCAAAGGTGTTAGGCCTCCAAGTCTAGTTCATCTCAACAGCAACACGCTGCACTCAATTCTAAAATCCTTCCACTTACTTAGTCCTTTGCTTCTGCAAATACAGGGTGTCTCCAAAAAATGTATGCACGCGTTGAATAATTATAAGGACAGCGTTTACTGAAATACATTTCATTTTCAAAATGTAATAGAAATCAGCCGTTGAAGTGTGTATACACGTTTTTGGGACACCCTATACTGCCTGAGTACCCAGGACGTGCTGAGCAGTGGATTAGGCGACAGGGATACAGCCTTGAGCCACACGGATAAGGCCCTTGGAGCAGGGTTTGTCCCTAACGATGCGGGTGTTGCTCAGTACAAAGTGCCACTGGCAGAGGGTGCGGCGGGAAGGCGAAGCAGCACCCACACACCTTCTGTGCCACGCGAGGATTAATTCGTCCACTGTCAGTCTCCCCGCCGTCTGATTTGGGTAGAACCTCACGGTTGCTCTCATTCTGAAACCCTGCCAAGTGAAGGGCAGTGACGATGTATTTTCAGACCTCAAGCAGGAAGAGGCCACACTTAGATGTAGGTTTTTAGAAAGAAAACTCCTAGTAGCGAAACAGCTGATTCCAGGGAAGTGGTTCAGAAGGTAAGGAGAGCATCCAGGCTGTCGCTGCCAAGGGCCAGCTGACGATGACCAGCTCTCTGGGAGCACATGAGAAAGCACCGAGGAGATGCGACTGATTCACGTTTGGAAGAGCAGCAGGACACAGGGACCGGGTAAGTGTAGAGGAAGAAAGGGAGCTCGGAACACCCTAAACCCACAAATTCATTATTCATCTGGGACAACCTCTCTGCAGATCATCACGATCTCTGCATATAGCTCAAAATCATCCACAGTGTCAGGTCCAAATTCTAAAGTGCCTTTGGCCAAACTGCCATTAAAACCGTTAACCTTTCTTCTGTAATATTTAACAAGCAGCCTTTCTCTCAGTCCCTCGCCACCACCCCAGTCACTTTCCTTACCACCCGGGATTTGGTTTGCAGCGATCACCCTAGTCACCCACTGTCCCACCAAGTGTCTCTTCACTTCCCACCACATTATGCTTTTATCCAATGTTATTCTATTCCTAAAAGACTACTTTCATAACGTTCCAAGAATGTGTACTGTAATGGTTCCTCGGGATCTATGATATAATATCCCAGGCCGCCCTCCACGCGTGGAAGGCTTTCCTTAATCCCAGGAGATCCTTCCTGGTGTTAGCAACCTGCCAACGTAAACCCTGCACTCTGGTCAGGCTAGCTGGCCACAGGACATTGCTCACCCACCCTGGCCTTGCCTTCATCTGCAGCATATATATTACAAGCCTGTTTCTCAATCTATAAACCTTCTCAGTCAGAGTTAACTACTGAGATAGAAGTGGCAAGAAGCAGGGATCTGCAGTCAAGCAGGCTCGGGTTGAAGTTCTGGCTCCACAGGGTGCAACACAGATAACACTGGCCAAGTTTCCTGACCTCGTTTAGCCTCGTGTGGAGAATGGGTATCGTAGGGATATTTAATGGTGCTTTGAGAATTGGAGGAGGTAACCAACATCAGTGGCTTAACATTACGTCTGGCCTGGCCATGGTAAGTATTTAACAGGTAGAATTTTTATGATCGATGTAATAATTATTATTTAGGGCACAGTGACATTCCTCCTTTCTTAAGGAGGTCCCTTGCAGTCCAGGTGTCTCTTTCTTTACAGCCCAGGCCACTCATGGCTCATCTCATGCACTGTAAACCTTGATTACAATCCATTTAGGGCTTGATCAACTGTTAACTGAATTTCATATACAAAAATTTTATTTCCTAAACAAGACTGAATTATCTTGAAGACAGGGTCTAGAAAAATGTATTTTTCTTGTCTCTTCCATACAATTTAACATGTTGCAGGTTTAAGAAAAGCACTGAGAACTAAACTTAAAGGGCTCCGATTCTTCATCCTAGTCTGACTTTGATACATGCTCAGTTGGCTACCAGGAGGAGCACACGCCTACATGGTCAGTGGCTGAGTTTTGCTAGTAGACTGCTGGAGATCAGAGAGGAAATTGGGCTCATGGCAAAATAAACAGACTCACTAACTCCACTGGCTTACAGGTGTTCCCTGCTTTCAAAAGTTTGCTTTACCCCACTTTGCTTTAGCAATCTGCACTACATTAGTGCCTGTTTTTGCTAATGAAGGACATCCAAAAAATGGCAAAGAGGGAACATAGCATTCAGCATTGTTGTGAGTAAGCCTTTATGGAGGCGCCTGCACTCCGAGAGGCGAGGAGCGAGAGCGGCCCCCCAAACTCCTTCCCGGGAACTACACTCAATATCTCAGCATGAAGCTCCAGCTCTGAACTGTGCCTGTGAGCATCTGGGCTTTGTCTCCATTTATTTTGTGCATCCGTTAGCAAGATTGCGTCCTAAGGTAATTGCTTCTTGGCTTTACACCAATTTTGGCTTGCTCTACTTTCAGAGTGTAAGGGAAACCTGTATTGGAAAGGTAATTTTTTTCAGTTGTACCTCCTAGTCCCCAATAAAAGGTCTCCTATTCTTAAGTAAATCTCAGATATTCACAAAAATGACAGGTGAGCACATCAGATTGAATTTCAAAGCATGTGAAAAACCCAGAAAGTGATAAATCCTAAATATCTTACTCATTTTCATTAAACTGAGTGCTGTCTGTGTAACATCACGTTAGGGGAACTGGGAACTGATGGAGACTGCTGTGTTAGCTTCACATGGCTGCTGTAACAAATAAACAAATGCTTGGTGGATTAAAACAACACAAACATGTTATTTTAACAGTTCTAGAGGCCAGAGCTTGATGTGGGGTTCACTGGGCTACATTCCAGTCGCAGGTAGGGCATGCTCCCTCGGGAACCTCCAGGGGAGAGCCCAGTTTCGTGCCTTTCCAGCCTGCGGAATGGGCATGCATCCCCTGGCTCACTGTCCCATTTCTCCATCTCTGAAGCCAATGGTGACTGTGGAGTCTTTCTCATCCTGTCACTCTGATTCTCTGCTTTAACTGTCACTCTTCTACTTTAAGGAGCTTTATGGTTACATTAGGTCCATCCAGATAATCCAGGATAATATCACCTGAATGCCCTTAACTTCACCATGAAGTCCCTTTGTTGTGTAAGGTGACAGTCGCAGGTGCCATGGTTTAGAACACAGGCATATTGTGGGGGGTGTTAGAGGCATTATTCTGCCTATCACAATTGTATAAAAATAACATCATTGCTCTATTTAAGAGCATGTTTTATGCCCTGGCCAGCGTGGCTTGGTTGGAAATCATCCCATGCACCAAGAGGTCGCATTCAATTCCCAGTCAGGGCACATGCCCGGGTTGCGGGCTTAATCCCCAGTAGGGGGCATGCAGGAGGCAGCCGATCAATGTTACGATCTCACACCTATGTTTCTTTCTCTCTCCCTTCCTCTCTCTCTCAAAATCAATAAAATATTTTTAAAAATTAAAAAAGAACACATTTTATTAAACACCTAATGTACTCCCAGTGTTGTTGATTAACAAGAGAAGTATTCAACAGGTAACAAAGATGGAAAAACTAAGTCAAACATTTGGGATGAACATGAAAGGTCCATATGGCCTTGAAGGTTACACCCATCAGTCAGCTGAACACTAATAAATGACACCCGCCTTCTCTGCCCGCCCAGCCCAGACCTGAGACAACAAGGTCCTGGGCTACCTGTGCTCACGTGCAGACACAGAACAAGGCCTCTGCGATTGTCAGCTCACAGGCAGAGAAGAGCAGAGGATAAGAGTAAAGATGTACAACAGGCCTAACGTGCTGGGAAACAGAAACACTGATTAAGCCCAGACGGTGTGGCTCAGTGGTTGAGTGTTGACCTATGAACCAGGAGGTCACGGTTCGATTCCCAGTCAGGACACATGCCTGGGCTGTGGGCTTGATCCCCAGTAGGGGGTGTGCAGGAGGCAGCGGATCAATGACTCTCATCATTGATGTTTCTCC